GTGTAACTATGTGTAAATATGAACTCGTCACTCGTCTTGTCTTGTGACTTGATGTAGCTCTGACGCCCTCTAATTGTTCCTTTGTCTGTTCTTTTGTCTATGTCCCTTTGTTCTGTCTTCCCGCGTCTTTGCCACGTGACTTCACATTATAAAAGGCATTGACGCGGTATTTTCTAATAGTGCTGAAGTTGCTGTTCATCTGTCTGTTTCTATGTGGTAAGTTGGATGTCGTCTACTTAATTCTAGTTATATTTTATCTTGTCTTTTGCGTATCCAACTTCACTATACTATACTGTATTACATCGTTTTCTAATCTTTAGTTTTCAGACCAAGACGTATATCCAGCACTCTTTATAAACGCCCTTGAATAAGATCAGGGTAAGCCGTTATAGCTTTTATAAACCGTAATTATCTATATCAAATTTATTATTTCCTTATCATAGAGGTAAACTTTAGAATTATAAGTTATTTGTTGTATGTCATTTTATTTAATTATATCTCACCTTTATTACAGGGTGAAAATTTTAGTTGTAGCAATAAAATTTTACACAACCAGAGAGTCCGTCTGTTACATATAGTATATGGGCCTACCTTTTTATTTGTTTTTCTTTTGTCCGTCTGTTCATCTGTAGGTGCATTCGTCAGTAGGGGTATAACGTGAAGGATCTGTAGGTTTTCATTATGTATTTCAGAGTCATCATGAATGAAGATCAAAAGAAGAAGATCAGACAACGGTATGTCTACCTGGTCAACAACCTGACAGACCCGAGGAGTACAGGGCTTGCTGCACACCTGTACCAAGATGGCGTCATTGAGCTGCGAGATCGTCAGATTGTGGAGAAGGAAAAAGCAACAGAAGACGCCATAAAACATCTGCTTGATGCCGTGATGAACTCTTCACATTCGGGCGCCTTTGATTGCTTCCTTAAACTTTTGGAAGAATATGGACAAGACTACCTGGCCATTGTTTTAAGACAAAGTACCAGTTCTGATGGAACAGGTAAATATATAGCCTAATATCAATTGTATTGTAACGACAAGGTTCTATTCAGTGATGTGTTTACATCTGTATAATTAAATATGAAATATTTTAACAGTTCATAATTCATGTGCATAATGTAGCGTCATAGCTCGCTGAGGGATTGAATAGACTTTCCTTTTCAAGTTTTCAGGAAAAGGACGTAAAATTTGAGTATTTGAAAGTAAAATGATCGATAAAACATTTGCCTTCTTGGCAGTAAATTAAAAACAAGGTTACTTTTTTTTTAGCATATAAAATCGTATTACAGTGTCAAGACATCGAAAAATGCGCTCATCTTCGTTATAATCATATAGGGAATTAATACATCTGTTTTGCACATTGATAGTATATAATATTTGAAAGCATTAACATTTAGTCATTGTGTATTTAAGTTGTAGGCTTATGTGACGTGCGTCCAAAAGGCAATAAATCCCCTGCCACCTCCGTGTGTTTGGACTTTACGTGTTAAGCAGCTAAAAAATGAGACAAATCAGGCGCCTAGAAATGTGTTTACGAGCTAGACACTGAGTGATTAAAATCACGGATGTGGCAGGGGATTTATTGCCTTTTGGACACACGTCACATAAGCCTACACAATCACTCAGTGTCTAGCTCCTAAACACAATTCTAGGCGCCTGATTTGTCTCATTTTTTAGCTGCTAAACACGTAAATTCCAAACACACGGAGGTGGCAGGGGATTTATGGGATACTTTTTACTGTCAAGAAAGCTAAATAATAAAATTATTTAGCTTTCTTGACAGTAAAAATTATCCCATTTTCTTGTTTCTTTAAAAACAAGGTTACTCGTTTCATTTAGCATATAAAAGCATATTTCAGTGTCAAGCAACGATAAATGCTGCCATCGGTGTTTAAATCATGTAACACATTTTAGTAGATGTTTTGTGCATAGCTAAAGTATAAATTTTGTAAGCATTTCTAAACTTATCATGTATTTAATTTCTAGGTTTGTGTGACGTGTGTCCAGAAGACAATAAATCCCCTGCCACTTCCGTGTGTTTGGACTGCAAGGAGCTCATGTGTTCTACGTGTGCCGGCTGTCATAAGAGGACAAGAATTTTGAAAGAACACAAACTTCAGGAGTTACCAGCTGCCGTCACAGACAAATGCCAAGTACACCCATCCATTTATCTTAAATCTTACTGTCCCCAATGTGACGTCCTTGTCTGTGAGCGATGTATGGTGGACACACACAAAGGACACACAGACGCTTGGAAAGACGCAATAACAGCGGCCGAGGACTTGAAATGTAAACTGAACGGGATTATTGATGAAATCAAAGATATTCCTCTAAACAAACATTCGATAGAAAAAGAAGAAAAGGAACAACTAGCCGACTTGGATGAGCAAAGACAACGAGCTAAACAAGCTATTGATACACGTGTAGACGAGGTTTGCAAACTGGCGAAAGTCTGTGCTGAAAAAGCCAAAGAAGAAGTGGACAAAGCATATTTGGATATAAAACTTCAGCTGCAAATAACCAATAAAATAGCATCCCTCGAAAAACAACTGAAAGCCTATGAAAATATGGTGAATGACGCTTCCGTCTCTAGTGTAGTTAAAAATCACGCGGAATGGGAGACTTCACTAAAGGAAATGTTGCAGACGCATTCCCCCACCTCTCCTGTGCCGGCGCTAAGATTTCAGACCATCACTTGGACAGAAACAGCCATACAGCAGGCAATGGGTGCGGTGGTTATAGGAGAGATCACACCGACATTGATCACACAACACCAACTGCAGTGTTCCAAGGATCCACTGGAGCTCCCCATAGCTGTGGACAGCATGCCTGGTGGTGACGTCGTGGTGGGGACAGGGTGTAATGCTGATAAAAACAAGCATCGTATCATCACCTCTTCCTCCACAGGAGACATCAAGAAGGAGATCAAGGTTACGGGGCTGAAAGGACTGACAGTACTACGTGACGGTACAATAGCAGCTACTGTATGTGACGACAGTACACGGGAAGTGAGGATATATACTAAAGACGGTGGTGTGAAATCATCGTTCAAGTGCAGCACACCTGGTCGTATTACAGTGAACCATGAAGGTCAGCTGGTTGTGATGGATTCTAGTATAGGCACATGTAATAATGTAATGGTATATCATACTGACGGTACACAGATCAGGGTATTCTCTGATATCTCATCCAAACCAGCACCATATTTCAATGACATAACAACCACACCCAGTGGTGACGTCATAGTATCAGATCCCAATGACTGCTGTATACGTGTCTACACACCTGAGGGTCAGCTACGGTACACGTACGGTGGAGAGGGCGTCATGAAGTGTTCACACGGTGTCTGTGTGGATGAAGATGGAACTATATTTATCTCTGACAACCTTGCTAACAACATCCACCAGGTGTCTCCTGCTGGCCAGTTCATGCGATATGTGCTGACAGACAAGGATGGACTGCGGGCACCCAGGGTCGTGTGCATCAACCAGGAAGGGCACCTCGTGGTAGCTCAACAAAACGGATGGATTAAGACATACAAGTATAAATAACGATATATGGTGTTAAATACTCCTCGTCCTTGATCAAATGACACGTCGGCTTCAATATGAAAGACGATAATGTTTACAAATTTGATCTGTATACTAGTATAATCATACCTGTATATGGATGTCACATATTGAGCACAATTATCAGATGTGAATATTTTTGTAAATATAAAACTGTGAGGCCAAGGAGAACTTAAGACTCATCAGACGACAAGAATATGTATATCGATGCTTAACGAAATAAGGCATAACGATCGAACCTTCATCAAGCGGATCAAAGAGCCGTAAACCCGTGACTGACCAATGGATGATCTTTTTAGAAACGGTTTCTTTACATATGCAACAATGCTGACGATTTCTTTAGAGACGGGTTACATTATAACAGTTATATATACATTGAAGCATGAGAGAAATTTTGTTTTCTAGTATATATGCAGAGTATGACGATCTGGGTATACGGGGGTGAAGATACATTTTAAGATTAAACCCATCTTTCTTAATGCCTTGATTCGACAAAGGCAGTGGCTGGATGTATATGTACATATAAACTAATTAACTTTTTTTCTTTTATTTTCTTTTACATGATTGATTATACCTACAGTTATAACAATATACGTATTAGAAGAGCTTGAAATCAGGATGTAATGTGAATGATGTGAATTCACATCACTGTAATTTTATTAAAGAAGGCATATGCCAGTTTTCCCATTGCTAGAAACTTTATTTTTGCCTTCTTTCATTCAGTGAATCAGTTAGTTTCTAAGAATATTCAGACGATATGCGAGGCAAAATCAAGCAGAACCATAAAAATGTCCCCCTTAACGAGACAGATATTGCATGTATTTAAATAGTGTCCTTTATGTAGGAAAACTGAATTTTGTGGACTTTAAATCTTTAAAGTTTAGAATCAAACTCGTCCAAATCTCACCTTTTAAACCCTCTCCCGTCTGAGACATCGACGTGGATGACGTAGGGGCAGTCTGAAACTGATAAGGGTGACGGTATCAAAATATTGATTTTATGTATACAGGTAAATAATAAAAGCGATATTCATTTAGGAATTCATACTTTTATTTAGGAATTCATACTTTTCGAACCAATGATCACCATCAGCCAGGCTCTGAAAATCTTTGTCTTCTAATGTCACCACGTTCTTGTCAGCGGTGTGGCTATCATAATAGAGGTCTCAGATTAAATTTTGAAATGATTTGTTTTTCTTTGTCAATACAACTGATACCCCAACTTCCTCGGAGTCTTTTTTTTAAAGATAGGTACTCATGCTGTATTAAGAGAAATATAATACATTAGTATAATTGAGGTGTCTGGATGAAATACCAACCCTGCTGATATACTGAGATATCTATAGGAAGGAAGATACACACCTGGCTTATCCGAGGCTACATGTACATGTAGGAGGCTAGTTTGCGCGCGCACCACATCTTCCTTACATTGATATGATACCTTACTAAATTATTTTGATATTCAAAATGGTCAGCACGCCTGGTGGTGACGTTGTGGTGGGAACGTGGTGTACAGCTGATATAACCAAGCGTCGTGTCATCATCTGTTCCTCCACAGGAGACATCAAGAAGGAGATCAAGGTTACGGGGCTGAGAGGACTGACAGTACTACGTGACGGTACAATAGCAGCTACTGTATGGGACGGCAGTACACAGGAAGTGAGGATATACACTAAAGACGGTGGTGTGAAATCATCGTTCAAGTGCAGCACACCTGGTCGTATTACAGTGAACCATGAAGGTCAGCTGGCCGTGATGGATTCTAGTAGAGGCACATATAATAATGTAATGGTATATCATACTGACGGTACACAGGTCAGGGTATTCTCTGACATCTCATCCAAACCAGCACCATATTTCAAGTACATATCAACCACAGGCAGTGGTGACGTCATAGTATCAGATCCCAATGACCGCTGGATACGTGTCTACACACCTGAGGGTCAGCTACGGTACACGTACGGTGGGGAGGGCGTCATGAAGGGTTCACACGGTGTCTGTGTGGATGAAGATGGAACCATATTTATCTGCGACTTCCATGCTTACAACATCCACCAGGTGTCTCCTGCTGGCCAGTTCATGCGATATGTGCTGACAGCCAAGGATGGACTGAGGGCACCACACGACGTGTGTATCAACCAGGAAGGGCACCTCGTGGTAGCTCAAGAGGACGGATGGATCAAGACATACAAGTATAAATAACGATATATGGTGTTATTTACTCCTCGTCCTTGATCAAATGACACATCGGCTTCAATATGAAAGACGATAATGTTTACAAATTTAATCTGTATACTAATAGAATCATACCTGTACATGGATATCACATATTGAGCACAATTATCAGATGTGCATATTTTTTGTAAATATAAAACTGTGAGACCAAGGAGAATTTGAGACTCATCATACAACAACAATATATATATATATATCGATGCTTAACCAAATAAGGCATAACGATCGAACCTTCATGAAACGGGTCAAAGAGCCGTAAACCCGTGTCTGACCAATGGACAGTCTTTTAAGAAACGGCTTCGTTACAGATGCAAATAAATGATCCAATGACTGACGGTTTCTTTAGAGACGGGTTACATTTTAACAGTTGTAAATACATTAAAGCATGAGAGAAGTTTAGTATAATAGTATGTATGCAGTGTAAGACGATATGGGTATACGGGGGTGTAGAGACATTTTAAGATTAACCCATCCTTTTTAATGGCTTGACTCGGCAGAGGCACCTGGCCTGAATGTATATGTACATATAAACTAATTAATTTTTACCTATTATTTTCTTTTACATGATTGAATCTACCTACAATTATAACAATATACGTACATGTATTAGAAGAGCTTGACATCAGGACGATAATGTGAATTTACATAACTTTAATTTTACTCAAGAGTTTCCCTATAGCTAGAAACTGTATTTTTGCCTCATTTCACTCAGATATAAGTTTGATTCTAAGAATATTCAAACGGTATGCGAGACAAAGCCAAGTCTAAAAATCAAGCAGAATCATAAAAAATATCACCCTTAACGCAAAAGATTTTGGATGTTTTTGAATAGGTGTCCTTTAGGAACCCTGAATTTTGTGCACCTTTAATCTTTAAAGTTTATAATCAACCACGTTCACGTCTTATCTTTTAAAACCTCTCTCGTCCGAAGCATTGACGTGGATGTCGATACGAAATTATTGCATGCAGGTTAATAATTAAAGTTTTGCTTATTTAGGAATTCATACTTTTATTTAGGAATTCATACTTTTTGAACTAATGATCAGCATCATCCAGGTTGTGATTTTTTTATGTCATCTATCGTCACCACGTTCTTGTCAGCGGAGTGGCTATCATAATGGAGCTCTCAGATTAAATTTTGAAATGACTAAGTTTGTTTTTGTCTATTAAATTAAAAAGACGCCATCAAATGTCACCAAATTCACACACAATTAGCATTAGTGTGTGCTCGTTAAAGGTCACGTGCCTAACAGCGTGTGCGGCTACCGCGTACTGCAATTATCTCCCGGAGACGGCGCGACTGCCCTTACCTCTCATATCCAGTGAAGTGTCACTTCCTAATAACCGGTCACAAGCGGTACAGAGGGCATTGTGGCAAAAGAGGAAGATGATGAAAAGCGAAACTTACCGTGAAGATTATGTAGCATTTGTTACAAATATTTTGGAGCATGCATGCTCATAACCATGGTTATGCAGAGCGTGTTCCTCTTTATGATGTTTCAGCACAGGGCCAAGTATGGTACTTACCTCATCACGGTATATACAACCCAAACAAACCGGGGAAAATTAGAGTGGTGTTTGATGCGAGTGCCAAGTTTCAAGGGACAAGCTTGAATGATCACCTATTACAAGGACCGGATCTGGCCAACAACTTGGTGGGAGTTCTTTGTAGGTTCCGTCAGCATCAAACCGCTTTCACTGCCGATATACAATCCATGTTTTATCAGGTCTGTGTTCCAGTAGAACAGAGAAGTTTTATGAGATTCATGCGGTGGGAAAACGGTGACTTGCAAGAATATCAGATGAGCGTTCATCTTTTTGGTGCCGTTTCCTCTCCTAGTGTTGCCAATTTTGTTCTGAAGAAAATTGGGGCTCAAGCAGAAAATTCTGAAGTAAGTAAAACTCTTCTCAGAAATGACTATGTAGACGACTGTATTAAATCTGTGAAATCTACCTTTGACGCCATCCGACTGGTAGATAATCTTCAGAAAACCTGTGCAAGCGGAGGATTCCATCTTACCAAGTTCTCAACATATCATCATCTATTCCTCCGTAGGGGACATCAAGAAGGAGATCAAGGTTACGAGACTAAATGGACTGGCAGTACTACGTGACGGTACAATAGCAGCTACTGTATGGGACGGCAGTACACCGGAAGTGAGGATATACAGTAAAGACGGTGGTGTGAAATCATCGTTCTAGTGCAGCACAATTGGTCGTTTTGCAGTGAACCACGAAGGTACCTGGAATGTACCTGGAAGGTACCTGGAATGAGGTTATGGTATATCGTACTGACGGTGCCCAGATCGGATCATTCATAGACACCTCATCGAAACCAGTACAATATACCAAGTACATATCAACCACAGGCAGTGGTGACGTCATAGTATCAGATCTCAATGACTGCTGTATACGTGTCTACACACCTGAGGGTCAGCTACGGTACACGTACGTTGGGGAAGGCGTCATAATGGTTTCACAGGGTGTCTGTGTGGATGAAAATGGAGCCATATTTATCTCCGCCTTCCTTGCTGGCAACATCCACCAGGTGTCTCCTGCTGGCCAGTTCATGCGATATGTGCTGACAGAAAAGGATGGACTGTGGAGATCCAGGGCTGTGTGTACTAAGCAGGAAGGGCACCTCGTGGTAGCTCAGTAGGACGGGTGGATCATGACATACAAGTATTAATAACGATATATGGTGTTATTTACCCCTGGTCTGTGATCAAAAATGACCAAAGAGAACTTGGGCCTCATCAGACGACAACAATAAATATTGATGACAAACTACATAAGGCATACCAATATGGGCAAAACGATCAATCCTTCATTAAACGGATCAGAGAGCCGAAAACCCGTGACTGACCAATAGACGGTCTTTTTAGAAACATTTATTAAAGCTCTATGGTGTTATTAACCAACTCCTGGCCTGTGATAAAAAAAGGCACAGCGGCTTAATTATGAAAGACAAGCACATAGTAAAGATAGCATATACCCTCAGCAAAATGGAAAATTTGCAGCAAATTTGCTGCGAACCAAACAGTCTGCAAAAAACTTAGCAGGTTGTAGTAAGAAAAAAAAAAGAACAGTTGTTGCAAATTTGCTGCCAATTTGCAGGAAACTCATCAATAACATAGAGGTTTGCAAAAACTATGCAAGAAGCTCTCCATTTTACACAAATTTTAATTTTAAATTTTAATCAATTTGCCAGAAAGACCAAGCTTGCTTGCTGTTTTGCAGCAAATTTGTAACAAACTATTTTTCACCTTAAAATTTGCTTTATGTTTGGAAGAAAGTCCATGCCTTTTTACCAATTACCGATTGATTAGATCATGTTTGCACTAAATTTAGGAAGTTCCTTTATCTTTGTGTAAGTATATTTGATTTCTTGAGAGTTTGGGGGAGATTTAAATTTATTTGGATAAAGAAGAATTCATTTTAGAGACGTACTTTGTGAATTTCAGTACCCTCATCTTTATAATGCACGTTAAGACTACTACAGTGCTAATGATACCGTATGTAGTTTAGCTTTAAAGGACACAGTCCAAGAAGGTGGGTACCCCTCAATAAATGACACAGCTTTTTGATCTGCCGTTTACATTTCGACTAATTCAAAATGATGTTTCTCATTTAACTTTGTTCATAAATTACATAACCAGAGTTATAGTATAGAAATTACTTGCACAAATTAACTATTTCACTTTTTTTAATGCCACATATGAGTCTGACAATCACACGGATCAAAAATACTTTCTTGCGTGGATGTACATGTATATCACTTTCGGCAGCGAGTTTCCTAATAATATTGGATTTTTTGCATCTATTGGTAGTTTGCATATAGTTTACAAAGTTTGCAACAAACTTTAAAGTTCACTAACAGTTTACAAGAAGCTTATATTGAGATAGGTTTTACCTCCAATGTTTCGATGTCTATCAGGACATCTTCTTCAGGGAATGAGGCTATCCAGGTGAATAGCCTCTACTCAGGAGGTGTACTTGCCCCCCTCTAAATACTGGAGGTAAAACTTATCTAAATATTAGCTGTTGACTGAAGAAAAATTCTTATAACTTAACACAGCTGATGAAAATCTTCTCTGAGTTTGCAAGCAGGTTTAAGAAACTCAAGACAATTACTTAAAGTTTGCAAAGGTTAACTTACAGTTTACGAGAAGTCTGAGGACACATATACATTACTTACAGTTTGGGGAAAGTTTGCGAGAAACTTAGTCAATAGCTTACATTTTGCAAGCGGGTTTTGAAGATACTTAGTAGTTAACTTACAGGTTGCAAGAAGACTTCAAGAAACGTAGACAGTAACTTACAGTTCACAGGAATTTTGCTACACACCTAGACAATTGCTTACAATTTTCAAGATGTTTGTCAGAAATTTAAACAATTACTTATAGTTTGCAACCAGGTTTACTAGAAACATTGATTTACTAACTATCTGCAGAAAACTTAGACATAAAATTTACTCACTTGTAGAAAGGTAAAACCAAGTTGCAATTCTAGACATTTACTCACAGTTCGCAAGAGGTTTGCAAGAAACTTAGACAATTGCTTATAGTTTGCAACCAGATTTGCAAGAAACTTATTGGTTTATTAACTGTTTGCATTAAACTTAAAAAAGCACTTGCTTTTAGAAAAAAATGAAAAATTCTTCATTCCCCTTCCCAAAGTTATTTTTACTTACACTAACGCACAAATAAACTAGAACAAACGCAATTTATGTATAGTTTACAATTTGACCCACTTTTGACCAACTTTATTTATTTGCACATAATAGGTCCAAATGCTAATATAAATTATTATTAATTATTATAATTATAATTATTGATGCACAAATGCAAATTCTAATCACTTTCCTTAATGTTTGGAGGTTCAAATATGTAAATATTGTTTTGTTGTTCAAAACTGCTAAACAAAGACCCACTATCTGTCTACTTTAACCACCTTTATATCCATTGTTGGTTTGACTTCATGAATATGTGTAAGTGGCGGAAGTATATCGTCATGCTCCCACTTGGAATAAGCGGGGTATCTACCAGCTTTGAGTCTTAAAAAAGGCATAACCTTTGCAAAATTTACAACCACCTGATCCACAGAAGCACACCTTGACGACAATTTCTACAAAACCCAAATCCACAACACCATTATCGTGATCA